AGACCTAACAGCCACTCTAGTACTATGCTTAAATTTGTGAAGCCAAAGTATCAAATAGTAAAGTTCTTCATAACGATTACCATGAAAATATTTATATAAAAGGCCCAGGGAAGTTATTTTAGAGTGACAAGAATGGGATTGAAACAAAGATTCTATGTCAGGACCTATAACATTGGTGATTCTTCTTTGACTGGAACATACAAAATTCTAGTAATGGGCTTATATTTTCAGGTCCCAATTTAGCTAAGAGTTGGCGTCATGGTTAGAATAAGCACAGAAAGGAGCTGTCTGTCTGATAAGTTACATTGATAGCAGTCACTCAGCCAAAGTAAGAAGAAAGGATAAAGGGACCTAACTGTTACCTCAGAAAGTGATAAGTCCAACTTGAAACTAGACCAGTGAATAAAGAACTCATTCTACTGAAAAACAGGTTTTGTTTTTGTTTTGTTTTTGTTTTTTTCTCATCATGGCAGTATTTCATGATGCATTCTTTGTTGAACATGCACCAGGCCTTTCCCAGTTTTTGGTCACACATACACAAATGGGAATTGATTGTATAAAACATTGAAAATGCGAGAAATTTTGTGTTGTATAACAATGTTAATATTAGCTGCTTCCTTATAAGGAAACATTTGCCTCCTCATTTTCCAGTCTTGATGGAGTTCAAAAGCATCTTTGAGTCCTTGTTGGAGAAGAATTATTTTTGCAACCTCCAACTTCTCCCTCACAGACAGGAAGTGATGATTCTCTCACTGCTCAATCACTGCTTCCATGGATAGTGCTCGGACTAACTACATTACTTGATTCTGCCAGGTCTAACCTTCATAGCTAGGGCCTACCATGCCACTTACATAATAGCAAACCTCTCACATTTTGTCTGTATTCAATCAGCGAGAAGTAAGTTCCACTCAAACAGCTTCTTCCTGCAAACCACTTCCCTGTGTTTTTCCCTGATTATTACAATCTTAACCTAAGTTTATTATCTTCCTCTCTTATCCATATAAACTACCCCTTAATGCAACCCTCTACCTTGAGTGGCCCCTGGGCCTTGTACAGGGTGAACCTTACTGTAAAAAAAAAAAAAAATGCTATTCCTTTATCGAGCAGCTACTGTTACTTACAATTTAAATTTATAAAAGAATTCTCTGAAAATGATTTTCAGGAAAATAAGTTGCTCAAGTCCAGTAACTGTTATTGTTCTTTCCTGTAGTGAGTGGGTAGGGGATTTCTTCCTAACCATTTTTTATTTTAAGTAGTTTGAAATATCAACATGTTGATTATGTCATTATTTTCTCTTTAAGTTAAATGTGCTATCCATTTTAGTTGTTACTAGTGTTGAAAGTCAAGTGATGTGATTTCTATTACTTGATACAGTTCTTAATGATTCTGTAGCACCAGCCCACAAGCTTTAAAGAAGTATGATCCTCACTAAGACCTACAGTCATTATTCACAGGAAGATTTTTTTGATCTTGATAAACAGTTGTATGCAGCTGATAATTTAGATTTTCTGAATGAGTTTTGCACCATGCATGACATACATATGCAAATCTTGATTTGACTCAGTCAGTGAAGTGCTATATGTGATACACACTTGGGCAATCATGTTTCTCGTGAAGTCACAACTAACTAGGCAGTAGAAAATCTTTCTGCAGTAGGTTATCTTTTCTTTTTGTGGTAGACTGGCAGCCACCCAAGGCTATAGAACCCAGTCTGTCCTACTGCCAATCAGTCCATATCTGGTGGGAGATGAGTTGGATTCATACTTTTCCCAATATGTAAATGCAATGAACTCAAGTGGAATTCAAAATCGGCTTTCGGATTCCTCAAAGAGAGCCACAATCCATTACTCTACCATGCCTCCACTGTATTTTACTAGACTTTTAAAAAACGTGCGTTAAGTGTTCGTAATAATGTTTCAGTTTTGTAGTAACTTGCAGTGTTGGGTGAAACTACTCCTAGATCAGCAGCCTGTTCTATGGTCAATCTCCTTATCTCCTATACTAAATTTAATATAACTGATCCATATACAATATTTACATTATTTGGACTATTGTCCTCATCTTTGTTGCCATATTTATTACAACGTTTTGGCCATTGTACACTCCGGCCTTCTTCAGGTGGTTGGAATGTCGAACTGAACCCTTTATTTTGCTCACTGGGGTAGACTGTTCTAGTTCCATGTGCCAGTGTGAGTTCAATACCCAGTTAAGGCAGTGGAGAACTTGGAGAGGGGAATTAACAAGAGATTACCGATAACTGATATCCATTAAACATGGCATGTGGAACTAGAACAGTCTACTCCATTGAGCAAAATAAAGGGTTCAGTTTGACATTCCAACCACCTGAAGAAGGTCAGAGCATATAATGGCCGAAATGTAATAAATATGGTGACAAAATGAGGACAATAGTCCGAATAATGTAAATAGTGTACATAATACCTCATCTCAGAAATATAGACAGATAATGATCCATATAATGAGATATTTGAATGGCTTAGTATTCCACATCCTGAATTTTTATGATTGATTCTAATGTAGGTGCCATCATGTCTTTTATTCCAATTCCAGGAGTAAAGTCTTGAAATTACAGTAATCTCTTCAGTTATTGCTTGTTTTTCTGTTGCTCTAAAAACAGAAAAAGGGTCATAATGGAAAATGATTAAGGAAATGTATTCTCTATACTTTTACAGTATCTTTCTCTTTATATATTATATTCCTTCAGGATGTAGCTATTCACACCTTCCTTAATATCTATGAACTATGCATTGCCATCCATAATTGTTCTGGGGAAAGCCAGTGGAGTTATTTTTCTCTAAGACTGGTTGCCAACCCAGGAAACAGTGTCTAATCTGCCCTCCTATTTATCTTGAGCCTAAAACTGTTGTCTATTTTTGTATAATTTGTTGTAATAAGTTCAATGATCAAATCTTTTCATGAAAAAATGCTCTTCTACACCCAGAAATAGAATCCTTATGGGGAATTGAAATGGGCCCCATATAATATTCCCACACTGTGGATGCAGATATTGTAATAAATAAAAAAAATAGAATGGGACTGACCTCTGATTTCTACAAGTTGTATTAAACAATATTACAAATAAGTCCTTGCATACTTAATGGTTTCTGCAAACAAAAATATCTGCTGAAGAAGAGTCGATGTTTTCACCATTTACGGACTCTGTGGTGATAACGGTGTAGAGCTGGCTGTTTTTGCAAGTGTTCATTTCATAAGTCTTACCAAGAGTGAGTGTTCTTCAAAAGGAGGTAGAAAAGCATACCAATCAGTAACTGTAAGCTGATTGGCTAACCTTAAACAGCCAAGGGTAGATAATCATATCTCTTATTTCTCAAATCCTGAATAAATTTATTATTTAACCATTTCTTGCAATTTGGCACTATGCTTTAACTGTTTCAGTCCCTAAGAGATGTCAATTGTTAAATCACCAGAGTCCAGACTGAACTGTTGAAAAATTTGAATATGTGATGCTTGTGCAAGGAAAGTGATATCTCTCAAAAACCATTGAAAATCAAGTCTTATGAGTCAATTTTATATGAAAGTTAACTGATTTCTCTTTAAAATGATACAGAATTCCACCTCTTTGCTATTCAGTTATGTGCCATATGTGATACACACTTAGGCGATCATGTATCTTTTGTTATATGACTGACGAGGCAGATCTTTACCTGCAGTAGGTTGCCATTTCTTTCTGCGGTAGACTACTTGCCATCCAAAGCTATAGAACTCGCTCTGTCCTGCTATTTACCGATAGCTGGGGGGAGAAGAAGAGGAGTCATACATTTCCCAAGGGTATTGGCATGTAAATGAATGTAATGGATTCAATTGGATATCTGAACTCGGCTCTCCAATTCCTCGATCTGAGCCGCTATCCATTACATCAACATGCCTCTTAGGTATTACTGGTTATGAAATAAAAGCAAAGACTTTAATAACATTGTAGATTTCAGGCACCTCTAGTTGATCATGTGATGTCGTTAACACTACATATTGAAACAGTGCTACCCAATTGAAAACACATTCAGGTGTTCCCAGACTGTAAATGTTATAAAATAAAATAAGACATATCTTGGCTGATTTGCAGGCAAATAAACTAACATACTCAAGAGCGAGAGCCAGATGTGAATGGGACAAGGCCCCGTCACAAAATGACCATTATCATCGTTTACGTATAGGCCCGACGCACGATGTCCGGTCGAAAAATAATATTTTGAAATGTTTCTATTTTTCGACCAATAAAAATGCTTCCCTCCTAATTATACTCGCGTCATTTTTCGAGCCTGTTAAGCCATAAAAAATGCCATAAAAGGAGTCACACAGGGAAGTACTGGCAGTCAACAGGAGGCCAGGGATGAGATCTTTCTGGGCAGTCAGCAGCAGTCAGAAGGGGAGCACCACACCAACCAGTGAGAAGTACTATGAGAGATCAACCCAGATCGGCAGCCTGCTTATGAAGTATACCACAAGGTAGCTGTCCCAAACCCACATGTTCTTATTGAAATAAATCCCATAAATCTATTTCTGCTGTTGTATTTCTTTCTTGCAAACATACACTTGTCTATAACATAAACATAAGAAATTTGCAAGTGAATTTGGAACTTCTGGCCATAAAGGGTTAAAGAAAATGCTTTTGAAAATCATTTCAGAAAGTATGCTAATATAATAGAATGGATATTGATTGTGTCTGTGGTATGCATAACAGGAACATTTTGTTTTTAACAATTTTGGTCTAATAACACAGGCAGTGTTAACAAGGAAATTTTTTATAATTGGGATTTCAGAAAATATAATTATACTATGTTTGTAATTTTCTTGGTTTTCCTGCTTATTTGTGACCTATTTTTGATATTGTGCATATTGGCTGACCCAATTTTGATATTGTGCATATCGGCTGATTTTTGACATCATGATTATTCTTTCACAAGGTAAGTATTCTTCGTCTACAAATTACTTTATTTCTTACTGCCCCTTTCATTATCTTGTAGGATATGGGATGGATGGTCAATTAAGAATTTGGCTGATGCAGAAGTCATTGTGCCTGATGTGTCCCGAGTTTATCGACAACCATTCCTGAATTCTGCCAGCAATGAAGACTACCTCAAAATTTTATTTCACAAACCTCGGATGACTAATTTGTAAGTGATTTTCATTTGTAAGTGATTTGTTAGCAAAAGCATACAAATACTAAGGCTTCAGAGAACAGGGTTTGATGAGGAAGTTCTTGACAAATACTTGGCCCAACCCCCCATGATCCAAACTAATTTTTTCCCTATCTTCCTAGAAAAATACTGGAAAAAGCTTTAATCGTAATTCTGAAATTTTAAACTTTCCTGAGATTACTTCTGGCTTCTTGCTTTTCAGTCAACTTTGATCTTCAAAAATTTTAAATGCAATGTCTTTAACTTTTATCTTCTTAATTCCTGTTTTTTTGCCCCTTAAAAAATAATTTCCTTTTCTCATATTCTCTCACACTCAGTAACCCCACTCCCTGCATCTTAGTGGCTTTTTTGCCTTGCTTGGCATGAAATGATGATAAAAAAAACTTTAATTCATTAATAGTTATTAATAGCATAATAAAAATACTGTTAAAATGTTTAGGAAATAAATTAAAAAGGTAAATATTAAAAATATAAAAATGAATTAATACAAAGACAAATTAGTTAACGTTTAATGTAATTTTTTATAAAAATCTGAACTTTTTAAAAAATATTTTGATTAAAAAGGAATGTTCTTATGAATTAATTTTCCTACTCAGAGTAAATTTTACTATGGTTATCTTCTGTCGCACAGGTTGCCGAGATAGAAAAAGTAGTTGAATGTTCTTCTCTTGCAGACAGATTTGTTTTTACTCCAATGGCGACTTCTAGGGTTGTTGACGCTCATTCAATGGCATTCCTTTGGAGGGTTGGCGGGGTTCTTTTTCCATTGGGTGGATCTTATAGCATGTCTCACTGGCAATGGTACGAGGTGGTGTTTTCTCTATTGTTGTGGTTGGCAGAGTATAACAAAAAAAATATTTTTTTTTTGTTCATGGTTACTTTATTCAGGTGGATTTATTATTGATAAAAAAAAATTAAGAATTGTGTTCCTTGCATTGATTTTGTATGCAAAGCATCTTAGCAAATTCCAACTATTCAAACCAACAAGAGGTTGAGGAGCCATTAAATACGATCAATCAGTCCAATTATTCACAATTAAAAAAAAAGTTATTAAAGCTTTTATCAAAATATTCCCATTTACAATTACCAGCCTTTCATTATGACTAAATTTTCTTTGTTTAGCATTTTTTAAATTCTCTCTTGTGTATTGTATGTGTACCTCTTCTTTTTCTTTTCTTTTTTTTTTTTTCTCTGCAGGGAGCAACACGTGAAACTCTCTGCTGTAAAAGATTTAAAGAAAGATGTTTATGAGAGTTCTCTTCAAAGTTTGCTCAAGAACAGTGTGCCTCTTGATATTTCTTATTTCAAAGACTGCCTGAAAAATTCCCCCACTTTTCTACACATTCAGTATCCCCAGAAAAAAGGGTAAGTTAATTTCTCTCTCGCTCCTGATTTCACAACTGAAAATGAAGATTCAAATTCATTTCGCGAGCTAATCTATTTTAGGCAAATCTATAACAAAGTGGAAAAACTTTTTTATGCATTTCATCTTTTAGGGCTTCTTCAGACTAAAATGATGTTCATGCTGATGTAACTGTTCATGCGAATGAAGATGAGATACTGAAATTAATTTTTTTTTTTTTTTTTATCAAATTTTTGTCAGCTGATGTTTCTTTTGCACAAATGCTGATTAGGAAGGTAGTATAGATTTAAATTCAGTAGAGACAAGGTTGAGCAATAACTGAGAAGTACTAAAAAGAAGATAAGGTATCCCTAAATGAGGATAATCTACCCCTGTATATTAAATAAGAGTTTAGTTCAAAATTCCCTTAAGGTTAACCTGATTGACAAACACCTGAGAGCACAAAGACTGAAACATTGTGATAATAACAGCAAAGATGAGAACTTTAACTCTGGTTATATTTTCTCATATTTTATTCAGATTACCTAATGCAATATTATTTAAAGTTATATATTAGATGTGCTGGGGGTGGGATTAATAGTGCATCTGAATAACAAATTAGACAGCTGAATTTGAATTCCACTCGTGTTTGTTACGTTAGTGATTAAAGCACTTTCCTGTTTTAATCACTAGATCATCATACTTATTATAAAACCCAGGTTGTGTGTGTGTGTGTGTCTGTTCATTTATATATTGGATCGGATTTCCTACATTTTTCAACCGATTTCAACAAAACTTCACAGGACTATGTAAAATTACCTTGTGGTGGTTCTGACAGTCCCAAAAATTGGAAAAACACAATTGTTTTTGCACGAAATCAATTTGAAAACACAATTAAGAGGCATTGCGAGAATGAAAGGGGGTCAACTCATATTGAGTTATACTTATTATAAAACCCAGGTTGTTTGTGTGTGTGTTTGTTTATATATAGGATCGGATTTCCTACATTTTTCAACCGATTTCAACAAAACTTCACTTTTTTTGGCAGGTAGTGTTTCTTATTGTCTTGCACACTTTTTTCTTTATTTTTGCATTCAGAATGCTTTAAAAATTCCATTTACAAGACAATTGTTTATAATAAAATTCTATTCAATCGGTAGACTCATAACGATTGAAAACAATGTTTTTGTTTGAGTTGGGTTTGACAAATTCGTAAAAAAAAAAAAAAAATAAGTAAGACATGTGTTTCTGTCAACCTTAAACAATAATCTTTGTCAATTTTATTTTTCAGTCTTTATGATAGTCGATACTTGATCTATCTCTTACTGTTACATCCCCGGGCAACGCCGGGCTCTACTGCTAGTCCACAATAAATCTGTGCCCAGGTTCTCACAATGTTTCACCATTTTTAGCAGATCTTCTGTTATCACAATGTTGGATATTTAATAACAAAAGTGATGTAAATAAAAAGCAAAAGAATCTAAATGAAATCAGTCAGATTATAAACCAAAACACATAGAAAATAATATCATTTTTAAATTTAAAATTCCCAGCATCACTCATTTGTGTGCATGTGTAGTCACATCAAATAAATGTAAAATTTAGTCTGTTTTCCTAAAGGATGAAACGTAAAAATTTTTTTTTCCACTTCGTCATACATCCCCTATAATTATTCTTGATATAATAAAATTCATATATTGTTATCCCATACATACAAACACACACTATATATATATATATATATATATATATATATATATATATATATATATATATATATATATATAATAACATAATAGCTGGTCACTCATATTCGAGGATACCTGTCTTATTAGGGCGGCTAGCCAATCCCTAATTCAGATGCTTACTCAGGAAAATTTGTTTTTGTTCAACACCTACAGAGCTCATCTGTGATTTATAGTGCAACTAAGCTGAGCAGGTCTTAGTTACAGTTTCTGGGAGAGAGCATGTTATATAGCATGATCAACAATCTCAAGAAGGCCAGCACACTCAAGCCCTCAGTCATGATGACTTGTGATTTGTGCTAGCACAGCTATCGATGGTCCCCCAAGTGTTCCATCTAACCAGTTTCACTCAGAAGGCTTGGGTCAACCTGTGGTATGGTTTTCAGGCCCTTTCCAAAGGGATCATCCCACCTCCAGACTGATAACATCAGGAAGTCCCCTTCTTGACAAATCAACCATAGTGAGATTCAAACCTGGGTCTCATGGTCAGAAAGTGAACATTCTAACCACTTGGCCACATATATATATATATATATATATATATATATATATATATATATATATATATATATATGTGTGTGTTTTATAGGAGGCACGGTGGAGCAGTGGTTAGCGGCTTGGATTGAGGAATTGCAGAGCCGAGTTCGAATTCCAGTCGAATCCACTGCATTCACTTACATGCTAATACCCTTGCGAAAGGTATGTATCCCCTTCATCTCCCTCCAGCTATGGGTAAAATAGCAATACAGACTGGGTTCTATAGCCTTGGATGGCAACTGGTCTAGGAGAAGGACAACTCTGAATTCAAAACCTGCGGAGGGTCGTTTGGGAGCCTTGTGGCATGCATTCGGTGCACCAGGTTTCTGTATTCGTCCCTCCAAAAAGTGTGGCTGGTCCTGCACAAGGCCTTCACCACTATAAACAAATCTCATGTGCCGGTGTCGGGATGTCGGTTTCCTGGGGACTTATCGGCCTGACCCTCTCATACGCCTAACGCGACGGAGAGATATATATATATATATATATATATATATATATATACACACTATGAGGTTAAATTCACACACTATAAGGATAATTATTAAATTTATAATTACACATGAAAATTGAATTTACTAGTTATTTAATTGTTATGTGCTGTTCAAAATGTCCTCCTTTTTCAAAACTAATTTCAATTTTCTGCCTGTTTGATTCATTAACATGTCGGAGATTTCCCCCTGTCATTTTACTGCATTCATATTTAATTCTTTCTTTAAGTTGAGTAATATTTCTTGGTCATGTCTGATAAACAACTGATTTCAAATGGACCTACAAAATAAGAAAATATCAAAACTAATTATACATTAAAAACATGATTAACTAATTAAGCTCTATAGTGTGTATCTTTTACATTGCCCTTTATATAAGAAGTAATTCTTGTGAAGATTCATAAAAGATGACCAACTCTTCATTCTGAATTGATTTCTTGTGTTCTTTTTACTCCCTTTAATTTCATTGTTTTATGAATTTATCCTTGTTTTGTTGCAGAAACTATGTAGTCTATTATGAACAGTCCAATATTAAAGACTTTGATGTGCTAGGAAACATTTCAAAATGTTTTGGTTTTTTTATTCACATGGACTACAAACCAAAAGGTCTGCATAGAGGATTGCTGAGGTGAGTATGAAAATCTTAAATGCTATTCAAAAAAATTATATTCTTTGTCAAGAATGGTAAAGATAATATTAGCCGTTTCCTTATAAGGAAACATTTGGCATTCATTACCCAAGAAGCTTTTACTACTGTCAGTTGAAATTTATAGTTTTTCTCTTAAAACAGTTTTCCAGGAAAATATATTTCTCAAGTCCAGTAGTTGTTATTGTTCTTTCCAGTATTGATTGGGGTTTCCTTCCTAATCTTTTATTTAAAGTGGTGTGGATTCTCGACATATTATTATGCCATACTTTTCACTTTGAGTTACAATTGCTATTCATTTTAGTTGTTGCTTCTGTTGATAGTCTTCAAGTGAGAGTCGCCCACTAGTTGATTATTATAGAAAGATCTAAAGAGACTAAAGTCCTCATTGTAAGATTCTAACATACAATGATTATTTCAACTTGTACGGAAAGTTGGGTCACTGTGTCATGCCAGAAAGTTTTTCTTGTCAGAATATATCTTGCACATTTACAAATCTACCATTTGCTCCTGTATTGAGCAAATGTTCTTACCAGTATTTTTCTTTTCTTGAACAGGCTGTTGACCATTTATTGCAGTATTACTCATTTCTCTGTCAATCGCAGGTCAAATCTCGTACCTCTTCCCCTGCACAATTTGCTTTAGACAATATCTTTCACCTTATTACTGCCACTTCATTATCATTTTTTATCCCACTCAAAAAGTAGAGAGCAGGATGTACTATTCTTATATTTCTTCCTTTGCGAATAAGTCAACATCACCTATTGCCAAAATCTTTGATATATTATCAGTTTCTTCATCAAGTACTGGTGGCATCTAGATTCAAAATTTGAAGAATAAATCAGTTTGCTTGATGATCGCAAGGGCATGAAAAGTGGGGTGACAAACTCATATCAATACAACTAAGTATGTTATCTCTATCACTGATATATATATATATATATATATATATATTCAGATTACTAACACAAAACAAAATGTCTCATATCGAGAATATTTAACATTGAAAAACATAAGGAAAAAAATTAATTATTTTTAATAATATGTGGAAATCTTCGCCTTTTATCTGAAGACAGTCACGAGACAAGAAACACGTGTTGTAAAATTATGGAAAATAAAACAATATTTAAAAAAAAAATCCACATTACAACCAAAAACGTTTGCGGCAACTCTCTTCTCTTCCTTTTACTATACACACTTTTCTCTCGTTGGAACCACTATAACCTCTTTCTTTTATATATATATATATATATATATATATATATATATATATATATATATATATATATACACACACACACACACACACACACACACACACATAGAATTTGGATAATTTTTATGAGATTCCAGTAAATATTTAAATATAATTTTCCATATGTCTGAGATTTTTTGGCTTTCCTAAGCCAGTATCAGTTTTTGTTTTTGGCACTGTTGGTTTCATCATTTTCAAATATTACTTCTTGCCCTTTCAAGTAAGTTCATATTAGCATTCTTTTAATGAAATATATTAATTAGCACCATAAAAACAGACATATGAAAATGAGAGGGAGAAAAGATACAATCACCATAAATGGAAATTCACAAGAAAGAGAAAATTACATATATATATATATATAAAAGTAAGCCCTGTGGATAATAGCATTGGTTGCATCCAGTGACTTGACCCCAAAAGTGTTGTGAGTTCAATACCTGGCTGCAGCAGAGGTGAACAAAAACTTGGAGAGTTAAGTTAAAAGAAGATAACTGATACTGAAATATCAAAAAGTGGCATGGCACGTGGAACTAGAACAATCTACCCAGGTGGATGAAATAAAGGTTCAGTTTGAAATTACAATCACCTAAAGAAGGCTGGAGCATACAACAGCTGAAACATTGTGAATATGACCACAAAGATAAGGACAACAGTTTGAACAATGTAAATAGTGTAAATATCATGGCACACACACACACACATGTTGTTGATTCCGGGTTGAAATCTGGTACCAATAAATAACAAAACACCAGGAATGAATATATGAAAATAATGTATTAACATAATAATACAAACTGGTAAAGCAGGTTAGTAGTTCCAGGAATACAGGTTTGTAGCAAAATATCTATACAGTCTTTGGTATTGAAGTATCGCTGTATGACTTCTTGCGGAGTCTACATGCTCGCTCACTGTGAGTCCTACCACCCTGTTACCTCACCCTCACTCTTCCGGTTACCTACAACCTTTTACTCTGTCACTCTGGACTCGACTCTTCAGTCTTGCTCTTCGGGTATTCACTGGCAGTAGTATAAATATACACTGGGTGAGTCCACTTGTATAAAAAAGGGGTGGACCCCTCAACAATATATATGTGTTTATTTTTGATCCAACATTTTATTAATTAAAATGTTATTTTTATTGGATACCCTTGCTTGAATTAGACCCCTTTTTTATTTTATGCAGTCTGTATTACATCTATCTGTCTGTGCACTCGAGAAAGCATAACAAAGAAAATGTCTTCACTGGTGGAGTATATACTGCGGCCAAGATGGACTGAGACACTCTCTGTGTCCAAGAGGTTTAAAGTATGCTGGATCAAATAGTGGTTTCTCCTAACAAAGGGGAACACAGGCTTGCAGCCTGCTGGAGAGCACATTTTCTTAAGATTTTCTTAGTGTGCAAGACAACAGATGCTATACACACAGCTTAAAAAAAAAAAAACAAAAAAACAAGGCATTTGTATCCACTAAAAATAACATTGGAAGTGTGTGTGTATATATATATATATATATATATATATATATATATATATATATACTATAGGATATATATATATATATATATATATATATATATATATATATATATATATATATATAGGAGAGAATAAATAGAAAAAAGCTGACCAGTTCTTGTGTCGCTCTTTTCAGATCTTGATTGCAGAAATAAAACATGACTAAAAAAGTAAATTTCTACATTTGAGGATATGTAATACACATATTATAATAATATACTCATGTGTTTAGATTATAAGCTGATCACTTTGAGACTAAAAAACCATTCATTTTTATTTATATTTCATTATTAATATTATTATTTATAAATCTACCTTTCATTAATGCATTGGATATTGTTGCCATATCTGGTCTAGTGCTATGCTTATGCCTATATATCTCTATTCTTTTGTCAAACTCCAAAGAATGGTTTATAATGTTATCTGTTCTGTCGTCGCATCTTGACTTTAGTCATTTTTGCCACCAGCATAATGTGGTTTCTCTTTGTCTATTCTATAAATATTTTCATGGTTGTTGTTTTAATGTGTTGTCCTCTTTGGTACCTCGACTGCGTGAATTTAAGTGTACTACTAGATTGGCAACTATAGTTTTACTGCTGAAATAGTGAGATGTAACAATACATCATTTTGTAATAGTTTTTTTTTCTCTCACACGTGGAACTCTATTCCAATTTCTTGCTTCTGGCCATGTCCAGACTTCAAATGCAACATCCATTGTCATCTTCTCTTTTCCTGCTTTTTTTTTGTTCTTTCTTCTCACTAAAATCTTCCCATTTTTTTTTCCATTCCCAGTAACTAAATCTGCCATAGTGGCATTACTGCCTTGCTTGGAGTGAAATGATTTAAAAAAAAATGTGTATTTCTTATTCTCAGTGTGGAAATTTGCTTCTCTTGTTTTTGTTTTGTTTTTTGTTTTTTTTGTTTTGTTTTTTTTGTTTTTAATTACAGTTTAGTTTTTTTATTTGCTTGATCAAGCTCTAAAAAGAGAGGCTCAAGAACATTGCCTGTTTTTTCTTCTGAAGAAGGCCGGAAAATATAAAACACCCAAAATTTGGGACAATGCAGATGAGCATAAAGAATAAAGCATAACAATCATAATTCCTTATCTTAAAAATTCCATTCAAAATGAATCCTGACATTATTACCATTATGCAAAATTTGTGTCTGTATTTCAAGGTGTACTTTTTGTAGCAATTTTTGTACTTGACAGATGCTTATTTTATTCATTAAAAATTAGCATATTAAACTCATTTATGAATTCACTACATTGATGAAAAAGTAGTATTTAAATTAAAGTTTTTTTTATTATTATTCTTATTACTTTCAGATTTACACATCATGGCAATCTAATATTTCTGATTGGTTCCCAGTCTTCCTACTATGAACTGAAACCACAAAATCATGAAGCCCTAACAAAAAAGTCAACGCTTTTAGTGGCTGGTTAACGTTATGGTGTAGGGGTTAAACCTGAAATAAAGGAAGTTGTATTGATTTTTATTTTTCCAAACTTTTGGGAGAATTTCAAGAGAGACCAAGAATTTTTCATCTCATATTCAGAATCATTGTATAAACCAAAAACTGAACTTGACCAATTTCTCATATTTTCTATACACATCATATGCAATGTAAGGATTTATTTAATTTTTTTTTTTTTTTTACTGGGCCAAATTTTATTTTCAGAAAATCTTGGATGGCAATTTCTGACAGACCATCGCTAACAGCAATACAAGTTTTCATATTAAAAAATATTTGACTTTGAGTTTCCCAATCAACCTGAACTTGTCTGAGATCTTTCATCTTCAGTAGTACATTTATAAGAATGGTAATTGGATTGAAAATAACTTATCGGCTGTGTTAAGGCACACATCCAATTTTGTGCTGAATTTTCTGCTTTTTGCTCAGTAGACTATGTAAAAATCCAAGCTTCATTTGCTGCCTCATGAAACGAAAAAGAGCAAAGTAGAATGTTTAGATTATTCAATCAAGTTTCAGTTATTTTCTTTTTATGGATGAATGAAGCCATTTTCTTTTTGTATAGACCATTCCAGTTTCTAAGCAAAAAAAAAAAAAAAATTCTAGTCAATCAATGACAGTTTCAAAAAGTAATCAACAGTCTAAGTTTTATCTCACTTTTTTGTAGCAATTTTCTTTTTTATTGTCTTGAAAAAATGGTTAATAATTTCTACAGCATGATAAGGAATTGTAAATAGGAAATTTGCTATTTGGATTATGCACTAAAGAAAAAGTTGATAGATCAATTTTTAAATTTTATCATAAAAAAATTACATGATGTCACCTGAACATATATGAAAAACCATACTTAAATATTACTGCAAACATAATGATGGAAATGTTACTGTCACCCAATCCACAGGTGGTAAAAATAATATAATAGCCATAAAATAACTATTTTATGAGCATTATCTTACTTTTTATCACCTGAGGATTGTGTGACAATAACATCGCCATCTTTATGTCTACTTGAAACTTTCTAGTCTCGGACAGCAGTGATATTTAAGTAGTTTTTCATATATTTTATATTTGCTCCGTTTTTGTATATATTTTTTATACCTAACATTAAGCACTGTATATATAGTGTCTACAAATTCTACTTTTTACTTTCCTATATATATATATATATATATATACACACACACACACACACACAGGGTACGGCTGGTATTTGAGGACAGATTTTATGGATTAGTAAAGAACTTGCTGAACAAAGGAATATAAGTATATTTGATTACAAACAAGTAAACATGAAATTTAGCTAACTATTATTTAATTTTATTCAATAAAACTACCACTAGCATCAATAACTGCCTCTACACGGGGTCGAAATCGGCTGCAAGCTCTGATTAATTGGTCCTTATTTATATCAGACATTACTCGAACTATTGCAGCTTTAAGAGAGTCTTTGGTGTTATGAGGCTGTTTATTAACCTCCTTCACAACAACGCTCCACACATAATAGTCTAGTGGATGGAGAGTTAGGAGGCCAAATGTTGGGTGTGATGTGGTCGTACAAATGGTTAGCCATCCATTTTTGTGTTTGTAGAGCCTTGTGGGATGGAGCCAATTCTTGCTGAAATATGTAAGGCCTGATGTTGCAAATGTTGTCAATCCAGGGCTTGACAACTGTTTCTAGAACCTCAATATAAGCAGCAGCATTTACTCTAAGACCTTGTGGAAAAAAGTGTGGTGGTATAACATGTCCTTCATTGCTAACAACATCTAATACCATAACAATTGAAGGAAATTTTGTGCATATCACTCTTGGCATTTCAAAAGGATCTGAACAAAGCCATCTATCATTTCTTCTGTTAAGTTTTTGATCTTGAGCAAAATTTTTCTTATCTGAGAAAAAACAAATCACATCAGCTTCTAAAGCATTTTTAAGTTTGTTTAAAAGCCTTTTGGATCTGTTTAAACAGTTTTCTTTTGATTTTTCACACACAAATTGACCTCTCTTCATCACATAGGACTTGTATCAGATGTCTTCATGAACACTCCTGATTGTTTTTTCAGGCACATGCAGATTTTTGGCAATTACCCTCATTGATTGACCTCAGTTTTCATCAATTGTCTTCTTGACTTCCTGAATAAATTCGGATGTTCTCACTTTATCAGAACATGCAGAAAGTCTTTTACATTTTGATACAGACATTGGAAAACTGTCAGATTCTTTCAACTCTTCGTATCTTATTGACAAATGATCTTGCAACTTTGAGTAAACGTGCAATATCCAAATTGCTATGATCAGCCTTTAATGTGACAACAACAGCATCCCTTTTCATTTCATTTGTTATCATGGCTGCCATTCTTGATTGCTGAAAAATAAAAGCATTAGAAGTTATTGGGAAGCAGTATTAATCTTAAATCTGTATGTCCTCAAATACCAGCTGCACCCTGTATATATTGTTTTTAAAAAGATAGAGCACATTCTTTTTCATCCAACACTTCTTCAGAAAGATTTGTTGGAAAAAAAAAATAAACATGCAAAAAAGAATCATAAATATTGCTAATGAACAAGTGAATTTGGAGTAAATAAGGAGATATGATTAGTCATGTCTCCTTATTGAATAAATTTATTACTAAAATAATAAATCAATTTAAATAAGCTCTTAATGAGTACAAAACAGAAAACCATTTTGTACTCACAATCCACCCATGAGACACAGAGAATGAAGAAAGTTCTTTTTCTGTTTGCACAAAGTCGGTCGATTAAGCTTGATATGGACAGGTTCTAAAAAAAACAAATGTTTAGCTAACTGAATTTTATGCAGTACCGTAAATGCCTCATAGGATTTTCAAAGCACAACCTGGGTTGTTCACCAAATGCAGTCCAGTCGCTGACTCATAAATTGACTGAGTCAAGTGAATACTGTCACTGTCTCCACCCTGTTTTATATGATTAGGTATAGGTATATAATGTCCAATTGGGCCTCCAACCACAAGTTGGTTTACCCCTCCCCACAATTTCCTTTTAAAGAAAAAGAATGCACTCTATCAATTTTAAATCGATATATAAATTCTGTGGTGTAAAAATTTGGTTTTATATATATATATATATATATATATATATATATATAAATATAAAATATAAATATAAATTTAAAATATAAATAAAATATAAATATAATATTAAATATATATTGAATATATATTCTATAGCCCTGGATTGCAACTGGTCTACCGCAGAAAGAAATGGCAACCTACTGCAGGAAAAAAAAACTGTCTCGTTAGTCATGTATCTTTCGATACATGATCACCTACTGACTGATTTGGATCTTATTATCTTTTCAGTAGATTGACTGAAAAAGAAATGCTGATATATATTTTGAATGATGTTAACACAGGAAATAAAATAATAATATTAATAATATATAATAATATAAAAATAACCATAAATGCAATAATTCATAATATAATTATTTATAAACTATATATATATATATATATATTGGAAACCTAGACTATAAAAACTTGGAAATACACTACTTGAAACTTTGAAGCTCATTTCAAAGAATGAGTTTATAATTTGAAAATCAAACTTCCTTTTTCTTTAATCGAGCTAGCTCGGCCATTCATGAATCTATCACACTATCCATCACAGTCCTGCATCAAGATCGGAAGGTCATTTGGGTGGCATCCTGTGTCTCTATATTATTGGTCAGTGTAGGTGATTGTTGGTTGACCAACTGCATTCATGTAAGATTGTAGAAATATCAGGGGCAGGCCCATAGAACTGTGATTTAGTTGGGTGTTGTGTTAAAGAGATATTAAGAATAGCTCTCAGCATCTGAGTGTAAGTTACATCAAGTTTAGATTCTAGGGTTTATTTCATGTCTAAGCAGTGACATCATACATAAAAACTGCCTCTGCAGTGGTGCAAAAAGAATCTTTGTTTGAGGTTGTCTGGTAGATCAGATTTCCAAGATTACATTTGTTTTATTCAAGGTGGTCAAAGATTTAACTATGCGAATTTCCACATCCTTTTTCAGTAGAATTTATTTCGCGTCCTAAGTATGTAAAAGATTCAATAGATTTTATTGATTTACTTGAGACAGGTTTGTATTGAGCCTTGCTAATTAAAGCTTATGAATTCAGTTTTAGAAGCATTGACATTGAATCCAACATCACTAGCAGCATTTTCTAGGTGATGTAGAAGTGTGGCATTGGTAATGGCATCTACAGTGATAGCTAGATCATTTGCATAGTCAATATCAGTCAACTTTTTTGCAGAATACTGACTTGAGAGTCTTGTTTATAAAGTAAAACCTTCCAATCTCCAAAAATTAACAGAAATGTTTACATTTTTTTCTTCATCATTTTAATTCAAACTTTGCTTTTTAATTGCTGTCATGAGAATTAAATGCAAAATATGAGAAATAACAATGCAGTAGACGAATATTTCTTCTTTATTTTTAAATAATGAATTTTCATTGTTTTTTTTGTTTTTTTAAAGAAAGACACAAGGACAAAGACCAACTTGTTTTTTTTTTTTATGTCATATTTCATTTTCAATATTGCACTTTGAGATAATGTTTTGGAGGATGGGCCATATGTAAAGTCCGATATTGTGAATTGGATATATTCCCTTTCATTGAACATATGAATGTGTGTTGGGTGGGGGTGTTCTCGGTCATACACATTTATTTTCATTCCTAATTTATTTTCTTTGATGCTGCTGTGAACTTCCAGAAAACAAAAATGAAAAATAAATACTTCTGAAATATTCATGTTTTTAAATGTTTTATGACTTATTTTATATGTTGAAGACTTTTAACATTCTGAATGTAATATTTTCTATTTTTCATTGCAAAGGAATTTTTTTTTTTTTTTTTTTTTTTTTTAAGTTTTTTTTCACAGCAAGTCTGAAATCAACATCATTCCATCATCCTGGTGATAAGAAAATTAGTTAGGGGTGACTAGAGAGGTT